AGACGCCACTGAGATCCCTCGCTGGAATGAGCTACTTAAGTCGGGTGTAGCTATCTTTGATCTTGACTATGATGCTATCCTTGCTGCCATGTATGTTATGTCTACTAGTGATGACGGTGACTGTTACCTGAGTGTCCCGCCCGACCCGGGTGGTTCAGCTGCTGCTCCAGGTGCTCGTGAGTCTGCTGCTCCAGGTGCTAGTGAGTCTGCTGCCCCAGGTGCTGGTGTGTCTGCTCTCTCAGGTACAGCCTCTCCCCCCACGTCGCACACTTTCACCCTTGACTCGGGTGCTTCCCGCTCCTTCTTTCGAGACCGCACCACTCTCACGCCGCTCAGTCGGCCGGTTGCGGTCTCCCTGGCAGACCCCTCTGGGGGTCCTGTTCTTGCCCACTACTCCACTGTACTCCCGTGTCCAGCGGTCCCGTCTGGCTCCCTGTCGGGTCTTTACCTCCCCTCGTTCTCTACGAACTTGGTGGCGGGTGCTGACCTACAGGATGGGGGGGTTGACCAGTTCACCCCTGCTCGTCAGCGGGTGACCCACTGCACGTGTGCAGACACGGGCCGACACTTGGCCACGTTTACCCGTCGGCCGGGGTCGAGCCTGTACACCCTCACTACCGAGTCTCCTCCGGTTACTGTGCCTGGTCAGGTAGCTGCGTCAGGTCAGGTGTTTGCTGCAGCGTCTCGGTCTGGCCCTGAGTCTGCCCCCTGTTCGTGTCGCCTCCTGTCCCACGAGACTCTTCTCTGGCACCACCGCCTTGGTCACCCCTCCCTGCCTCGCCTCCGAGGCATGGCCTCCCGTGTCCTTGTCTCTGGTCTCCCCCGGTCTCTCCCTCCCCTTCCTCCGGGGCCTGCCCCTACCTGCGTTCCCTGCGTCGAGGGGCGGCAGCGCGCCGCTCCTCACTCCTCCGAGTTTCCGCCGACAGAGGCTCCGCTGCAGACTCTTCACATGGACGTGTGGGGCCCAGCCCGCGTCCGTGGACAGGGTCACGAGCGCTACTTCCTGCTGGTGGTTGACGATTACTCGCGTTACACCACAGTCTTCCCCTTGCGCCGCAAGGATGAGGTCACTGAGGTGTTGATCCCCTGGATCCGCGCTGCTCGTCTCCAGCTCCGGACGAGTTTCCGCTCTGACTTTCCTGTTTTGCGTCTGCACTCCGACAGAGGTGGGGAGTTTTCCTCAGGCCCTCTGCGAGCCTACTGTCGTGCGAGGGGCATCCGCCAGACATTCACGCTTCCGGCCTCTCCGCAGCAAAATGGGATTGCTGAGCGCCGCATTGGCATGGTCATGGATGTCGCTCGTACGTCCATGATTCATGCGGCTGCTCCCCATTTTCTGTGGCCGTTTGCGGTTCAGTACGCGGCGCGTCAGATCAACCTTCAGCCCCGGGTCTCCATGCCGGGGACCTCCCCCACTCTGCTGTGGACGGGGAAGGTTGGCGATGCGTCTGCGTTCCGTGTCTGGGGATCTCGGGCTTTTGTCCGAGACTTGTCTGCAGACAAGATGTCCTCTCGTGCTATTCCCTGCGTCTTCCTTGGCTTCCCCCCTGACGCGCCTGGTTGGCAGTTTTACCACCCCACCTCGCGCCGTGTTCTGTCCTCCCAGGACGTCACGTTTGACGAGTCGGTTCCGTACTACCGTCTCTTCCCCTACCGCGCTGCCCCTCCCCCCCCCGCCGCTTTTCCTTACGCCAGGTCCCCTCCCGGTAGACCCCCTCCCCCCCCAGGTTCCTGCTCCTTCAGGTGTGTCTCAGGTAGACCCCCCCCCCTTGGCTGAGCCTTTGGAGGTCACTTCCGACACCTCTGGCCCACCCGAGGGGGGTGACGCTGCTGCTGGCGCCCCGTCGGCCTACCGCCGCACACCACGCTTGGAGACCCCTCCGGGGTTCCCCCCGCGACCTTCTTCACCGCCTCTACAGCCAGTTACTGTTGACTCTGGTGCTGCTTGTGGTGGTGCTCCTAGAGGTGCTGCGTCTGGGGGTTCGGAGTCTGGGGGTGCTGAGCCAGCGCGTGAGGAGCCTGGAGGTTCTGCGCCTGGGGGTGCTGTGTCTCTGGGTGCTGAGCCTGTGTGTGCGGAGTCTGGGGGTGCTGAGTCTGGCGGTGAGACGCTTGAGGGTACTGGGACTGCTGGTGCGCGGCCTACTTGGAGTGGCCGCCTTCGTCCACGTGTGCCTCTCACCCCTCAGCAGCTGCACGACTGGTACGGTTGCCGTCAGCGTCGCGCTGCTGGAGCCCGGGACGCTGCTGCTCGAGGTACTGGAGCTGCTGGGGCTGGGGGTGCTGCGTCTGGGGGTGCTGCTGCGGGAGACGCTGCGGTTGGAGACCCTGGGACTGGAGGTGCTAGTTCTGGGGGTGCTGCTGCGGGAGACGCTGCGGCTGGAGACCCTGGGACTGGAGGTGCTGGTTCTGGGGGTGCTGCTGCGGGAGACGCTGCGGTTGGAGACCCTGGGGCTGGAGGTGCCGGTTCTGGGGGTGCTGCTGCGGGAGACACTGCGGTTGGAGACCCTGGGACTGCAGGTGCCGGTTCTGGGGGTGCGGCTGCTGGTGACGCTGGTTCTGGAGCTGCTGGCGCTGGAGGTACCGGTTCTGAGGCTGGAGCTTCTGGAGCTGCTGGAGGCGCTGGCGCTGCTGGAGGTGCTGGCGCTGCTGGAGCTGCTGGCGCTGCTGGAGCTGCCGGAGCTGGTACAGCTGCGCCGACACGACTGTTCTTCGCTCCGCCGTCTCCGTCGTCGCTGCCGCCGCCTGACTCTCTTCTTCGTCAGGTTCTTACTCTCCCGTCGTCCACTGGTCTTCCGTTACCGGCTGGCTCACCGCTGCCTGCTCCTTCTCCTTACACTGAGCAAACAGGCAGTCTTGCTGAGCGTCGTGAGCCTGTGTCGCGTCCTGTCTCGCCTGTTCGTCCTGGTCGTACCGGTCGTCGTGTCGCTCGTGCGCGTCAGCAGACTGTCCCCAGCGCACACCTTGTCGTCCGTCGTCCTTCCTCTGCTCCGCAGTCTGCTCCTCTGCCTTCCCCACCTGCGTCCTCTCTGCCTGTCGTTCCGGACCCTGAGTCTGACCGGTTTCGCGCTGAGCACCCCACTGTCACGCGTCTGTTAGCCACTGTTGTCACTGACCCGTCGTTTGAGTCTACTGCTGCGTCTGCCTTAGTCGCTGAGCTTGTTGACTTTGCTGCTACCTGTCGTCTAGACTACGCCGCTAGTCTTGTTGCTGAGTCTGAGTCTGTCTGTCCTCCGTCCGTCGGGGGTGAGTGTGCTCTTAGCACGGACATCCTTGAGGACAGGCAGGAGGAGTTTGAGTGCTTTGCGGCTGCTGTACCTCATCTCGTGTCCATGCTGATTGCACCTGAGGGAGACCCGGATGCACTAGACATCCCGACCCCGCGCTCTTACGCTGAGGCGATCGCGGGTGAGTACTCCTCTCAGTGGCAGACAGCCATGGACACAGAGATGGCATCCTGGAAGTCCACTGGCACTTACGTCGACGAGGTTCCCCCTCCTGGGGCGAACATCGTCAGTGGCATGTGGATTTTCAGGGTGAAGCGGCCGCCAGGTTCTCCGCCCGTCTTCAAGGCTCGTTACGTTGCTCGAGGCTTCAGTCAGCGAGAGGGGGTTGACTTCTTCCAGACCTTCTCCCCCACCCCGAAGATGACCACTCTTCGGGTACTGCTGCACGTTGCCGCTCACCGTGACTACGAGCTTCACTCTCTGGACTTCAGCACAGCTTTCTTGCAGGGCAGCCTGCACGAGGAGATCTGGCTGCGCCGCCCACCTGACTTCACTGGGTCGTTCCCTCCTGGTACCCAGTGGAGGCTCCAGCGGCCAGTCTACGGTCTCCGCCAGGCGCCACGTGAGTGGCACGACACACTGAGGACGACACTTGGGTTTGCGTATTGTGAAAGCGCAGCTGACTGTAGCGCAGCAAGGCAACTGCGAATTACCATTCGCCGAATATATAAGAGGTTTGGAGGCCATTTGGCCTCCACCCACGTCTTCATTTCGGAACTTTGCAGTTCCACTCCCCACCCACCCACCCTTGTAGTATACATGTCCCATTTATAGAGGGACGAGAATGTTGTAATTACTGCAATTCTAATGAAGCACGCAATTCTTCTAATGAAGCCCGTTGCCTTTGCAAGAACAGAAAGCAAGCTTTCTCAATGAACCTAGTCTTGTACCCTTTACAGAGCGAGCTCAAAGCGGAAACGTGAAGTTCAGCTTAGGAGAAAGAGCGTGTAACCACTCTACGGTTTGCCAAAAAACGTACTCTTTTGACATCGAGTTTCGGACATTCCAGTAGGGTGGTAAGGACCGAAAAACGGGAAAAAAATCTTGACAATTCTTATGAAATATATTTTCTTCCACATGATTGTTTTTTGCCAAATAGAATATGATAATGTCTTGAGATTGTCAGAGCTGTTATAAAATGATTGTTTTGTTTTCTATTACACCCCGGTGTTTTAGAGAAGCTGTAAGGCGGGGACGTGTTGCAGATGACATGTACCCTGGAACGACAGGCTGAAAGACATGTGGTTGGTTGTAAACTTCGAAGATGACTGCCAGACGTACAACCATCAGGCTTGTTATTATGTGACGTGGCAATCACATCTGACAACAGCTGCGATACTTCTTCCACTGCTAGGTAAGGAAACACACTTGTCATCTATCTTGCTGTGATTGGCCAGTCAGTGAGGTGGATGTCGGTTTGAACTGAAATGGCTTGACGAGATTGGCTCACTAGGAACACGCGGGAAAAGCTGCCGGGGCTGCGCGCAGCTTGTTCGGGGTCAGGTATGGGTTCGGTAAGCTGGCCAGTTGGCGCTGCGAAATGTAGTTCCTCCAAAATTCAGCATTCGGCAGCTGCCCCCCCATCCTGTCCTGACCCGACGCGCCATCGTTTCGATCTGTTGATTTCAGTTTCTCTATTATCAGTTTCTCTGTCCAGCAAATTGGCTTTTGCAATTTGTATGAGTCCGTGAGTTCAGCAGCACGAGCGCAAACGCTATGGTTTTGAAAGAGGCGATGGCGAGCGGTGTGGGCGAGCGAGTGGCGGCGTTGGAGGCGAAGCTGAGGGAGCAGGGCGACGCCATGGCTGCCATGCAGCGCGACTTGGCCGAAACGCGCCGCGCCATGGCCCTCCTCAAGGGCATGGCGGCGACGGGCGCTTCGGCGGAGAAGAGTGTGGGGGAGAAGGCGGAGGGCATTGGCACGCAGCCGTCGAAAGGCGCACTGGAAGTGGAGGAGGTGAAGGCGCAGATAGAAGCGGTGAGGGGGGAGGCCAGTGAGATGCGCGGGGAGATGGGCGCGCTGAAGATGGAGGTGGCGCATATGAAGTCGACGGCAGCGCACGCAGAGGGGCGCATCAACGACTTGAAGCTGGAACTCGCGACGCTCAAGGACGGCCGCGTTGAGAAGAGCCGCGCCGAGCCCGAGGAGAGCAGCGCGGGGAAGCGGCGGAAGAGGGACGAGTCGCCGGGGAAGGAGGAGGAGATCGCCGGTGCTGCTGCGGCCACCGAGCCTAAGCCTATTGCGGCCGAAGGCGAGAAGATGGCGGAAAGCGAGAAGATGGCGGAAAGCGAGAGCGAAGAGGAGTGGGGCGCGAATGGAGAGGAGGACTTCGACGTGGAGAATGAGCTGCAGGACCTGTGTAACCGCGTGGTGGTGCTGGAGAACCGAATGGCGGTGGACCTGGAAGAAGTTGGAGGCAAGACGTGGGAGGTGAATGCTTGCTGCGGCCCTTGCCGCCTTGCTCCTGTCCTTCCTGCCTGCTGCCCTTCCTGCTTTCCTTCCTGCTTTCTTTCCTGCTTTCTTTCCTGCTGCCCTTCCTGCTGCCCTTGCTGCCCTTCCTGCTCCTTGCTACCCTTCCTGCTCCTTGCTGCCCTTCCTGCTTTTTGCTGCCCTTCCTGATCCTTGCTGCCCCCAATCCTGCTGTCTGGTCTGATTGTTTATTTCAGGTGGTCTATGATTTTGAAATACTGCCTATTTGTTGTCTCACATGTCAAACACGGCGAATCTTGAGGCGCCTCTGTCCCTGCTCTGTCCCTGCTCTGTCCCTGCTCCTGTCCCTGCTCTGTCCCTGTCCCTGTTCCTGTCCCTTCTCCTGTCCCTGCTCCTATCCCTGCTCTGTCCCTGCTCCTAACCCTGCTCCTGTCCCTGCTCTGTCCCTGCTCTGTCCCTGTCCCTGTTTCTGTCCCTACTCCTGTCCCTGCTCCTATCCCTGCTCTGCCCCTGCTCCTGTCCCTGCTCTGTCCCTGCTCCTATCCCTGCTCCTGTCCCTGCTCCTGTACCTGCTGCTCCTGTGCTTGCTGTTTAGATGGTCGTTTCTTTTGAAATACTGCAGTTGCACGGATGGGTGCCTTTCTGCTCCCCTTGCTGTTCCCCGTTGTGCTCCTTGCTCCTCCCTCTGCCGCTCCCCTTGCTGCTCCTTTCTGCTCCCCTTGCTGCTCCCCTTGCTGCTCCCCTTGCTGCTCGCCTGCTGCTCCGCTGCCGCTCGCCTGATGCTCTCCTTGTTGTGTCAGACGCTGCTGCTGTCCTTGCTGCTGCCCTTGCTGTTGTGCCACGGATGACAGCAAGCGCAGCCGATTTGTTGAGATTTCTCAAGAGTAATTTCTGATGCAAATCTCTCTCCAATCACTTTTGTTTGACCTTGCTGCTGCCCCGTGGCTGCAGGTATTGTTGAAGCTGTGGGGCAAGATTGTGCCGGGCGAGACTCGCCTGGACCTCGATGGTGTCTACCTCACCGATGCTGCTCTCACTCGAGTCACCTCCCTGCGCTCTCTCACGTGGCTCGGCCTTCGGGGATCCTCCGGCTTCACTGCTGAGGAGGTGACTCAACTCTTTTCCCTCACCAGTCTCACATTTCTGGATCTGTCATCTACCAATGCCTCAGACGTTTCTCTTGATGGTATTAGCAGCCTTAAGGTTCTCAACAATCTATATCTTGGTGGGACCAAGATAACCGATGCAGGAATAGCAAAGCTGCGGGGGTTACCAGGACTCGTGTCTCTGGCCTTAAATGGTTGTGAGTCGGTCACCTCTGCCAGCATGGTGTATGTGGGCAAACTGACGTCACTGCAGTATCTGTGGCTTAGAAACACTAGAGTGGGGGAGGATGGGCTGAAGCATCTGACTGCTCTCACCTCCCTCAAGACCTTGAGCTTGCCTCCATGGGTGACTGATTCCACTCTGAAGCTCCTGAGGAATATGAAGCGCCTGGAGAAGCTGGGGCTGTGGTACGCTCAAATCACTGCTGAAGGTGTCAGATGGCTCAACGGGCTTAAGAGCCTTCAGGTGATTGGGACGGCATCTGAAACTGTAGAAGGCCTGATTAGGGACAACTTCCCGGAAATAATTGTCACAGATAGTAATATCTGATACCGTACCGGTATGTCTTATGCCAATGCCCCTTGTTTGCTACAATATCTCAGAGCATATCGTTTAGGAAATACGGTAAAAATGTGTTTGACATTCTGATGTAGCTGTAACCGTTTACTAGTGCAAAGGCAACACAATTTGCAATGCACGCACTGTAGTGCGCCTAGACAAATGAGGTTCTGATCTGACTCACTTATCTACCCAGGTCGTGTAATCAGGATTTTTTTTTGCACCAACCTTGATAGCATGATGACTGGTTCAAATACAATTCTGAGAATATTTTGGTGCTCCTCAGCCCTGTTGGGCTGAGAAATAGCCCTTAGGATCTTTTACAAGGGTGAACTCTGGGTAGGAACAATGTAATAGCGGAAGCGTTTTAATGAAGAAATTGAACAGGGCCTCAGATTCGTTTGAAGGTACACTGAGGCCTCAGGGCAGTTTTTAGGAAATCAGAATTTGCCCTGAATTGTCAGGGCTGCACAGGGTGAGGTATCCTGAAATGCCAGTGCTACATTTCCAATATTCCTGTAATACCAATGCTACATTCTTTGATAGGTGAAGTGTGGTAGCGGATAAAGCATCAATGCGATACGTTAAAGGGCTTTAGCTCGATTGCCACTGGCTCCGACGTGTGAGGTGCTCGCACGTACAAGTTTTAGGCCCCCAAACACAGAAGATTTTTCGTACAGTACGACTCGCTTCAGAGCGAGATTCGACACTACCCTGACTCATCAGGGCTGAACCTACAGCGTTATCCTGAGTTTCCAGTACGCAAAATAACCTTTATACTGAAATTACAGGACAATTATTCATGTTATGCTGTTTTTCCAGGACTAGCACACGACACCTATCCTGAATTCAGGAGAATCAGGATAAATTATCATGATAACTGAGGCCCTGAAATTGAACCACCTTGCGCTAGTATGTGAGGGCAAAGTAGATTGATTAAAGCAAAGAGATACAAGATTATATATGAGTACAAGGAATATGAAAGGATACAGTTATAACTACTTTACTGTTGCTGTTGCGGTTCGATACAGTGACGACTCGGGCAACTGCTCTGTAACGAGTCAGTTGTGTGTCCTTGCTGTCGCGCTGTACTTGTCAGGTCAAAGGTCGCTGACCTTTGACTTTCGCGTAACCTCCAACAGTTACTTCAACCTCCGAGGGTTGACTCGCCGGTGCTTCGATATGCTTCGCTTCGCTTCTGACTTGGTGTTTCGACACGACAGAGGCGCTTAAGATTGATTGTTTCCAACACTCCCCTTTGTTAGAATCTAGAGACAGGAATGAATGAACTAGTAGCATGCAGGAGTACAAGTAGTAAACCCTAATTGAGTTGTACCCCATATGGGCTACCCCACTACAGCCTAGACAATATGCAGCATATATGTTTGACACACCCCCATAGGCAAAGTGGGGGAGAACAAGGGGTCACACGACCAGTCAAGGTGGATCACAACGTCACCACACACTCTGAGCACAAGCAAGGGCCACAAGGCCAGTTCACATGCAGAGATATATATGCAGCAATAACAGTACAGTGATGACTACCTAGCAAGAGCCAGCATGCATATATATGTACAGATCACAATACAAGCAGAGACTACAGCAAGTGTGCGAACGTAGGCACAAGGCCTAACAGGGTACAAAAGCGCTGATGATCACCAGACGGAAGTGCCTTGGTGAATATATCAGCAGTGTTGGCCCGAGTGGCCACGTGGCGAAGACGAAGCTGGCCTCGCTGCTGCAACTCTCGAGCCAGGAAGTAACGCAGAGCGATGTGCCTCGTTCTGTGCTCCAGTCTGTGCTCCTCACACAAGGCAATGGCAGCCTTGTTGTCGACGTACAGCACTGGAGGAGAACGAGGCCGCTCTCCCAAGTCAGTCAGCAGGTAGGTGAGCCAGCGTAACTCCTGTGCAGCCATGGCTGTGGCGTAGATCTCAGCCTCACAACTAGAGCTGAGAACTGAAGACGAGCGAGTAGAACGCCACGAAACTGAACCAGAGCCAAGGCTGAAGGTGTAACCCTGTGACGACCGCTGAGTAGCCTGGTCGTCAACCCAAGAAGCGTCTGAGTGCCCAGTGAGAACAACTGGGCTCTTCCCACCAAGCACTAGCCCCATGCCTGATGTACTGCACAAGTAGCGCAGTACCCTCTTAGCAGCAGCCATGTGCTCAGGTCAGTGCCGACCAGGAGCCACGTAGCGAGCCAGAAGGCCAAGAGGGTACGCGAGATCAGGACAAGTGCAAGTCATCAGGTACATGAGGCAGCCAACTAGCTCTGGGTAAGGACCACTCTGCTCTACGGACTCGTCCGAAGGTGGAGCTAAGAGCGAGTGACCTGTAGCCAGAGGAGTGTGCTGTGGGGAGGACCAGGAGAAGCCGAAGCGCTGAAGGACCTGCTGCACCATGTGTGACTGAGTCAGGGTGATGGTGCGGCGTGCTCTGTCCCGGGTGATTTGCAAGCCAAGGTAGCTGCGCAGCTCACCCAGGTCTGTGCACGTGTGTCTCTTCTGCAGCTCCGACTTCACCTGAGCGAGAGCCTCAGTGTCAGCAGTGGCAAAGACCAGGTCGTCGACGTACACGAGGATGTAGAACGGCGGCAGGGAAGTGTCGGTGCGCAGAAACAGCGACGGGTCAGCAGTGGAAGGAGCGAACCCAAGAGCCGCAAGTGTAGTCCTCAGTGTGTCGTGCCACTCACGAGGCGCCTGGCGGAGACCGTAGACTGGCCGCCGGAGGCTCCACTAGGTACCAGGAGGGAACGACCCAGTGAAGCCAGGTGGGCGGCGCAGCCAGATCTTCTCGTGCAGGCTGCCCTGTAAGAAGGATGTGCTGAAGTCAAGAGAGTGAAGCTCTTAGTCACGCTGAGCGGCTATGTGTAGCAGCACCCGAAGAGTGGTCATCTTCGGGGTGGGGGAGAAGGTCTGGAAGAAGTCAACTCCCTCTCGCTGACTGAAGCCTCTAGCAACGTAACGAGCCTTGAAGACAAGCGGAGAACCCGGCGGCCGCTTCACCCTGAAAATCCACATGCCATCGACGATGTTCGCCCCAGGAGGGGGAACCTCATCGACGTAAGTGCCTGTGGACTTCCACGATGCCATCTCTGCGTCCATGGCTGTCTGCCACTAAGAGGAGTACTCACCCGCGATCGCCTCAGCGTAAGAGCGCGGGGTCGGGATGTCTGGTGCATCCGGGTCTCCCTCAGGGGCAAGCAGCATGGCCACGAGATGAGGCGCAGCAGCCGCAAGACACTCAAGGTCCTCGTGCCTGTCCTCAAGGACGTCCGTGCTAAGAGCACACTCACCCCCGACGAACGGAGGACAGACAGACTCAGACTCAGCAATAAGACTAGCAGCAAAGTTTAGACGACAGGCAGCAGCAAAGTCAACAAGCTCAGCGACCAGGGCAGACGCAGCAGTAGACTCAAACGACGGGTCAGTGACAACAGTGGCTAGCAGACGCGTGACAGTAGGGTGCTCAGCACGAAAGCGGTCAGACTCAGGATCCGCGACGTCAGGCAAAGAGGACGCAGGAGGAGACGGAAGAGGAGTACGCTCCGCAGTAGAGGACCGACGCAGGGCTACAAGGCGTGTGCCGGGGACAGCCGGCTGACGCTGACGAGGAACACGACGAACGGTACGACAAGGACGAACAGGCGAGACAGGACGCGACACAGGCTCACGACGCTCAGCAAGACCCCTTGTCTGCTCAGTGTAAGGAGAAGGAGCAGGCAGCGGAGAGCCAGGCAGTAACTGTAGACCAGTAGAAGACGGGAGGTCAAGAACCTGGCGAAGGGCAGAGCCAGACGGTGGCTGAGACGACGGAGACGGCGGAGCGAAGAAAAGTCGAGTCGGTGCAGTGCTACCAGCACCAGCAGCTCCAGCACCTCCAGTAGCTCCAGCACCTCCAGCAGCACCAGAACCCTCAGCGCCAGCTCCTCCAGGGCCAGCTCCACCAGTAGTAGCACCCCCAGAACCAGCACCCCCAGTCCCAGGGTCTCCAGCCGCAGTGTCCCCAGCAGCAGCACCCGCAGGCTCAGCACCTCCAGCCCCAGTAGCTCCAGTACCCCCAGTACGAGCACCTCCGAGACCAGCACCACTCCCAGCTCCAGTGACGTCAGCAGAAGTACCTCCAGTAGCAGAGCCCCTAGCTCCAGAAGCGCGACCCTGACGGCGACCGTACCAGTCCTGCAGCTGCTGTGAGGTGAGAGGCACACGTGGACGAAGGCGGCCACTCCAAGGAGACCGCGCAACAGTAGACTCCGAACCCTCAGCGTCAGCACCTCGAACAGCTCCAGAACCTCCAGTGCCAGCACCCTCAGCGCCAGCACCTCCAGCAGCTCCAGAACCTCCAGTGCCAGCACCCTCAGCAGCTCCAGAACCCCCAGCGTCAGTACCCTCAGCAGCTCCAGAACCTCCAGCTCCAGCGCCACCAGCACCAGTACCTCCAGCAGCTCCAGAACCTCCAGCGCCCGCACCCTCAGCAGCAGCAGAGCCTCCAGGAAAAACAGCTCCAGGAGCAGAGTCACCAGCTCCAGCAGCGCGGCCCTGACGGCCAAGGTACCACTCAACCCGCTGCAGGGAGGAGAGGGGGAGTCGACGACGAGAGGGCAGCGGCGAGGCACCAGCGGAGCGACTACGGAGACGGCCACTCCAGGGAGACTGCTCACCAGACGCCTCAGCACCCCCAGGCGCAGCACCCCCAGACTCAGTACTGCCAAGCTCAGCACCCCCAGACCCCTCACACTCAGGCTCAGCACCTCCAGGCTCCACACCCTCAAGCTCCGCACCCCCAGGCTCAGCACCCCCAGGCTCAACACCCCCAGGCTCAGCACCCCCAGGCTCCGCACCCCCAGGCTCCGCACCCCCAGGCTCAGCACTGTCAAACATTGCATGTTTATATTGTCTAGGCTGTAGTGGGTTACACCTTAGGGGGTACACAAAGTTAGGGTTTCCTACTTGTACCAAACTCTGTTCTAGTTCATTCATTCCTGCTCAG